TCAGTAACCAGGCAGCCTCCTTTTCCTTTACAGTTTTTCCCCCTTAGGAAAGCTGCCTTGTACATATCTTATAATCAGAGCACCAACCCTTTCTGCGCTTCTCAAGATATCCTGCTTTAAAGACAGATGGCAGGTCCTGGGCCGCCACAGGTGGGGACTGCTGGGAACCTGGAAAAAGAATTAAGGAAATCCAAATATGTGACCCGTCATCATTGCTGCTGAATCCTTAATAACTGACTGTTGTTTTTTGTGGCGGGGGTCTTAAAGTTAAACATGACCAGAAGGTTTATGAGCTACTTTGCTATCATGCATTTGTTTAACCGATATTAAATTGAATAGCAAAGCCACTCTGAGTAATATTTTACTCTCACTGGAGAAGGTTTCCCTTGCCCTGTCTAACTTCAAATATTCAAATGCCGTGTCAAAGTTGCATTGTGTGAAAGAGCAGCCATAAAACTGGCAGCTGCTTATAGGCCATAAAACCCAGTCCCCCAATCACCATTTCATAAGGATTTCCCTGATACTCTGTGGTGGGAAAAAGGGGGGGGCAAAAACAAAACTGCAAATGCAAAAATCTGTCACAGTTTGGATAATGGAATAAACAGGATTAAAGCTAGTGTTTATCGGGGAATGTTTTTGTGTCATAACCTGCAGCCACAGCAGTAATTTTAAGCCCCTAGACTGTGGCTGAGAGAGCAATAAAGTGTGCTTTAGCCATCAAAGGGGAGGGGTGAGGGAGGTGGTAGGAGTAGCAGTTGTGCACCCAAATTGCTTCCCAAGTATGTTGCCAAGTTACAGTTGGAATGTCTCACTCATTGTGCCACTCAAAGTCGCTTTCTCCAAGGAGCCAGAGCAAAGATCTGTATACTTTCCTGCCAACACTGAGCTTTCGGTGCTCTAATCCGCAGCTTGCGAGCAGTTAGCGAGTCAACTCTGTTTGTCTGCTAAGTGTTTGTGGCTCACCTTCGAAACCATCATCATCCTTGTCCGTGCGCTCTGACTGCAGCGACCCCCCGTCGTTGTTGCTGTCAACTTCCTCCTCGTCATCAGAGTCATTTCCACCTACTGCAGTAAACACAGAGGGCTGTGAAGTAACTGCACACAGTGTAACACAGAAGTTGCCATTGTGTGGTGTTAGAGGTGTTATGTGGCCAGTTTATTATGAAATGCGACTCTTTTTGCCCTTGCTTTTTCAAATTTGTGGGATAAGTTTGTAATCGACTTGTGGGCCTTCGCATTAATGTCATGACATCTTGTGGTCAGTCATGACCCCCATTGGATACCAGTTTTAAAAACACACCTACAGGATTATTCAGCAGGCAGGCAACTTACCTTTGTCCTTAAACTCTTGTGGAAAACTGTTTGGGAGAAAAAGACAGCAAATAAAATTAATCACAACAACTTATGCACCTGCAAAGCAAATCAAAACTGGAGTATTTTGATGTATGCTGGTTCCAGTCATGAGTCATACCCTTGCTTGACCTCCTTTATCCTCTTGATGAAGGCTTCCCTCTTCTCTTTCGCCTTCTTGCTTAGATTTTCTGCCTTCAACCCATCAATGAGGTAGTTTTCGAGATCTGAACAGCACAAGAGGTAAAACATTAACATGTTCTGATGGCTGATAGCAGTCAAGTGGCCACACCACTGATGGACATCCACAACATAAACAAAGGAGCAGTTTGCAGCTTTGACGTCCAGCTCATGCCTCAGGTTTGAGACATGAAGCGAGTTGTTTTTTGGGGTTTTTTTTAATGAAATGCAAGCACAACCGTCGATTTGAGTGAATATAGCAGAAAAAAGGGGGGAAACTATGCTTCCTCTTTTTAAAAAGCAGTTTGTTATATACGAGACTTAAAGTAAAACAAGTCTTTATAAAATGCGGAAATAAACTCTCCTCTACTCCAAAGGCAACTATGAATCAACAGTTTTACCTGAAATGAGCGTCGTTAACTCCTCGGGGATCGCACGCATTCTTACCGCAGTTTCCAGCCTGAAGCGATTGAGCGTCCAGCCTGAGGAAGGGAAACTCTAGCCTGCGCGACACGGAAGCAGCAGCTCGGGCTCGAAGATATACGGAAGTTAATCTGCTAATTATTTATCAGTGACCACACAGTTCCGCTGCAGGACAAACACTCAGAGCCGCCTGCTCGGTGTTCGGCGTTCACAGACGTTGACGTTTATTGGCCTTTATTTATTTTTTGACTGCCACCGTAGACAGGAAATTGATGCTTTAATGGAGCAACGGGTCTTTACGGAATAATAAAGTCCGAGCATAACGCCGCGATCATACTGTTGATTGATTCCAGATCATATTTTTTGGCACTTAAGTCTGCTCTCTACGGCTGACTCGCTGAACACATTAGGGGCGTCTTTTGTTTTACAGCGATGCAAGCTTTGAGTCTATGAATATGTCAGGGCTGTAATCCAAAACAGGGATCATTAATAGATTAAAAAGTCAATCATATAATGCTGAATGCTTCTGTGCCAGCTTCCTCAGATGTTTCACGGGAGTCTGTGCTACTTCTGCTGCACTGCTTTGTACTCTGACTATATATTTGACATTTTAAAAAGGAAGAAGAAACAACAAATGCAGGTTATTTTAAAAGAAAACGATAGAACCAGGAAAGAATGACTTCTTACATCAAGTTAAGTCAGCGCCTCTGGTGCATTTACGGAAAATGGCCTTTTCTTTTTGTTTTGTCACATTGTTTATAAAGATGTCAGTCAGTTATTCGTCTTTTTTGACAGGCGGTATCACCCAATCTGGGTTAAAAGACTGAGCCTTTGAACTGTATACTCTGTTGTTTTGGAGGAAGGAGACAGAAGTGTCGAGGCGTTTGTGGCACAGCTTTAGTCTCAGGTGTTGGCTTGGCTGCAGGTAGCTGTGCTGCCACAGCCAGTCAGACTCTGCAAACAGATAATATGATCATTAAACAAGGATTTTTGTTCAGAATCACGATTGAATTTCTCAGTATTAGAGTTGTTACAAATCATAACGCAAAATTAAACCTTTTCCACGTTTTCTGACGTCACTTCCTGTTTCTCTTCATCCGAGCAGCCAGCACGTTGTTTATGAGCCTCTAATGCTCTGCGACCATTCAAAACCTGACCCCCTCCTGACCTGCCGGTAGTTCCTCCCAGCTTTAGAGGAGAGCCGCTTTGACCTCTGACCTCTGTGTGCCTCTGTGTGCCAGCGCATGTGTGCGAGCAAGGGGAGGGCTCTTACAGGCAAAGCCATGTATCTAGTTTCCATAAAGCTCTATCTTACTTGCCTGTAGTCTCAAAAACAGCCCAACGCCTTTGGTTCCTTCCCCTTTTATCACACTCATTACAGGGGTCGCAATCCACCGAGTGCACACTGCACTCTAGCTGTTTAACATGCAAAACACGGATTAATTCATAGTTTAGTTTATCGTTTTTGTATAATAAGATACTTTATTTGGTGAGTGTAAAATTAAAGGTGGGAGATGATCATGTGGACCATTGTTGTGCTTTTAGAAAAGGAGGTGTTGCTTGGTTAACACTGGATCTACAGTTATGAGTCCACGTCCGACTGCTTCTGGGCCTACTGGGTTTAATATTAGGCTTTCACGATTTTGTCCTTGTTCTCAAAACATGCAGAATCAGCATCACTTTGAACCATTTTCAGGAGGACGAGCAGTTCACCGCCTCACCTCACATTCGTTTTTATTAATGCTATGAGGCGCTTAGCGTGCGGTCGAAAACGCAGAGTGTGTGTGTGTGTGTGTGTGTGTGTGTGTGTGTGTGTGTGTGTGTGTGTGTGTGTGTGTGTGTGTGTGTGTGTGTGTGTGTGTGTGTGTGCGCAAGTTTTCAGAATTATTAATCACTGTGGTGGTTAATTTTATATAGCACCGAAGAATGACTTTGGTTTTTCACCAAACATTTTTTTTTAATTCTAAACAGTAAATAATGTATATGAAAAATGGGAGTTGGATGGAGGGGGGGCCCTTGTGGAAAAAGCGTCTTTAAGTCGAGCAGAGGATCAACTGGTCGGTGTGAGAAATTCCTTTAGCATTAAACGGGGTCGAACTGCCTTTGATCCAGACCAACATAAATTTACCTCAATTTCATGATGATTTACTAAAAAAATAATAATAAACGGTTTATATACATAAATACCTTCAGCCGTTTGACTGATATGTGACCATTGTTCGCAGTCGAATCCGTTTTATAGTTACATCATCCAATTAATTTATAGGCTCAGTTACATAAATTTATATATCAATTTGGAAAAAATGCCTTACGTCTGCTGCTTTGAATGAGTCCTACTTAATTTTACATCATAAAAAGTTTTGAAAACCACAATGGGGCAAGGCGCACGTCTTAATTCAAAGAGATTGTATTACATTGCGGCTCGGGCTATAAACAAGCACCCTCAGTCCTGTGAGTTTTATAGGCAATAAAACGTAATTAGAAAGCCAGGAAAAGTCATAGCTTTTGGCCTGGGACTCCTAGCAGGCAATTCACACAGCAAATTTTCTTTTTCTGCGTTTAAGTATGGAGAGGCAATGAATCTCTCGCAGTGCTCCTTTTTGTGTGTGTCTTTTTGTGGACTATATGCTACCAGACCCACGGCCACGCTGGAGAAATTCTCTCAGCACAATCTATGAACATAAAAATGTAATACAGCAACAAAAATTACACATTTATACAGCTTCTATTTTAATTTTAGTTTATATGTGTTCAGTGCATTCACAGGCTAATTAATTTAATGGTAAAATAATCCTTTTATATTAACAGCTTGTATTGTTTTTTCTCATTTTTGAGAATTCATTTCATTTTATGGCTGATGCTCTTAATAATTTTCATTTATTGAGGTAAAATCAATAAGCTCTCTAGAGTTGCTTATTGTGGGCATATAGTGAGAAAAAAACCCAAAACGCATCTGAGTTCAATCAATGTAAAATTTTATTTCAATAAAAATATTGTGCTCAATTATAGTCCAAATCCATATAAAAATAAATGTGCACTGTGTCTTCTACCAGCCTACTTTAACAGTCCATACAGGCAACAAAAAAAAAAAGAAAAAAAGCTTTGCTTATTTCGCTTTAACTTACCTCATCTATTAAAAATTTCCACCCTGACGCCCTAAACTATAGAGCACAACCGTCTGAGTTACAAATACCAAAGTCGAAACATTTCAATAACTCAGGTTTTGCAGGTCGATTGTTGTGAGTGTTTCTGAGAAGAGGTCGAAAGTCTCGCAGGGTAAAGGCAGGGGACTTTGAGCTGATTCTGACAAACTCGGTGAGAAAGAGGGCGAGGATGAGAAAACTTGGAAATCCCGAAATGAGGCGTCCAGGTCCGGTCGTCATTGTTCGGGCCTATTGTGGACACGCAGATGGGCACAATGGCTGACGGGTTTGGAAAATGTTTCAGATTTTTCTCATTGCTGGTCAGAGGGGTAACAGTTGGGCTTTGGCTCTCTCCATTGTGTGCGTTCTGACAGTCTTGTGAAGTCAACGTATTCTGGTGGAAATACCTCTCCCTCTCAAAGAGCGTCCGGGCGCTGCCCGTAGCTGCTCCACTCGTCCTCGGCCGTCGTCCAGGCAGGCGTATTTCCCCTCGCTGTCCCTGTTTTCCTTGCTGTGAGTCTGCCTCTTGTGCTTTCTGTTCTGAAACCACTTTCACGCTCGTTAATCAGCAAGCAGCTATTTCCACTCGCCTCGGTCTGCACAGGTATTTGTTAAAATGAAACTCCTTCTCCAGCTCCAGAAGTTGGGTGTTGGTGTACGCAGTCCTCAGCCTCCTTGATGGCCCTATCGCAGCACACTCTTGGTGTGTAGGTGGACCTAAAATAATAAACATTTATAATATTAATAGAAAATCCACTGCAAATATAATAATTTAAAACATTCGTAACAGGGGTGTGTTTGGAGGGGAGAAAAAGCGCTATGGGGTGAAACTTGTGGCAAGCAAACACCAGGACTGGGAAGATTTATGGGCCCCAGGCAGAATATGATGGGTCTGCGTGGACAAGACAGGACGGAGGGTGAAGATTAATGAACATGCCAGCTGCTGGCCCGTGTAAGAATAATCTATCACTCTCCATTACTGTCAAACATTAGCACTCTTACACTGCATCACAAGTCAGTGCGTTACTTGATGAGATTAAGAATACTTAAATCAAAATCCTAGACTGGCTCAGAAGGGACGCCCACGCTGCACAAGGCCCCAGGATGGAGCTACTTGCAGAGGGAGAATCCTCAGACAATAAGGAGCCTTTTTTACATGGAGGTTATTAATCATCATGTCTTGCCTTGGGGGGAGAAGTAGAGTGGCGAGGAGTCATCCGTCGTCGCAGCAGGAGCAGCAGCAGGAGCTGAAGAAGATGAAGAAGCAGAAGCAGCCTGGTTCCTCTTGATGCTTTTTTTCTCCTTCATCCACGGGTACTCCGGGGGTAGGGACACAGCCTGTAGCGGGCTGAAGCCCTTCTGAGCCTGCTTGGAGCGGCTGTGGCGTGGGTGGACGCTCGGGTTCAGGCCGGGGATGGTCTGCTCAAAAGGAGGAGGAATCAGTGTCGACTGTGAAAGCGCTGAGCTCTTGATTGATGAACTTTGAAATGCATCACCGACAGGGTTAGTGAAAGATGTCAGGCACTCAGCGAGCGACGGCTGGCTGTTGATAAAACCACTTTCTCGCCCAAATTCGTAATTCATCTCCTCCTGCTTGTCTCGGAAAGCTCGGGGGTATTCAGAGGAGGGAAGAATTATAAAGATAAAATATATCTCTCTATATATAAATATATGTTTGCGAGGTTTCTTTTTGATAAACTACTTAACTGGTTACAGTCATAGGGAGACCTCTGCCATAAACTATTGCTTTCAGGAGGACATGGTCGGAATTAGACCGTGCTGCTTGTCACATGATTGCATCTGCCCAATGACAATTTGGGTTTTTTATCAAAAGAAGCCACTGTCCCCTATGATTGATCGAGAAAGTCTGAGAGGTAACGCCTCATTCCGGGGGTAGGGGTTGCTTTATTTACACATTTTTTCCCTCCTCTTCTCAGTTTGTCCACCACTGCCTAACCGCCCCATCCACCTTCAAGCACCGAAAATGCACCACAAAGCCGTGCACGTCTGCCACGGGAGCGCGCGCCCGTGCGAGCTTGCAGTTCACGAGTGTTTATGGGCATTTATTTCCAGCATGGCGCGCCGCAAATCATTGCAGCAGTCACATTTGTGCCTCATAATACCAAGACGCCCACAGTCGTTATCTCTGGCCGAGACGTTAATCTTGAGAGTTTCTTGAGGATTGACTAGAAAAGGAAAGGAAAGGAAAGGAAAGGAAAGGCAGCACCAGACACAGCAACATGTCCTCCCCTCCCCCACCGCCCAAACTACAGAGAGAGAGAGAGAGAAAAGAGACAAATTAATTTTCATATTTTAGTCTGATTTTGCATCGATTACATTTTAATCCCCAAATTATTTAACCTTTGATTGGCAGCGTTAGATTTAAAGTCTAAATAAAAATGTGATGTATAAATTATTTGAAGTGTGTTTGTGTGTCTGTGTCAAGGTAAGAAAGCATCTTGGTAATTTAACGTGCATTTGTCACCGTTTTACAGTTTATTGCTCCCTTCCCCTCGTCCAATTTCGTTCATTTTATATCACCTATTGGGATAATGTTGACCTTAGCCGGCATCCATACATTTCAGCATTATTGGTTATAACATAGGGGAGAGCAGAAATGATTTGCCACTGCACTGTGAAGCTTAGGAAAGGTGGGGATCTGATGGCTGTTTATTGCTCAGGCTCTAAACAAAGAGCCCTGGTAGCCCGTGCGTGATCAATCTTTCTCGCCAAAAGGTCTGACAGCTCCCTGCCCTAAGAACACATTTAAACCATCTAACACTCCCTTGGATCATATGTGGCCAGGAAGAGGACGACCTCTCTGTGAGCTGCAGGATGAGTTTTCAATTTAGAAAGGTCGGGATTTCTTTAAAAGCAGGGATGAGACGCATGGGCTTTGCGCACAAAGCTTTTTGCTCTGTTATTTGATAATAAACGATAAATCCAGACGTAACTCTGACCCCCTCACTTTTTTTGATCTCAGAAAGGACATTTCTGGCATAGAAAGAAAGAAGAGAAGACTTGACTGGGTGGATGGTATAGAAACGAAAACGGAGCTTCTTCTTCTTTTTTCTTTCTTTTTTTTGTGCATAGGATCAATTGTTTGCTGAGGTGAGTGGGTGTTGGCATTCAGTAGAAATCCCATTCACTGCCATACCTATCTCTCTGGCAGGAACCATGTAGACAAAGTCTTTGTGTGGCCTGCTTTCTGGAATAATTCTGCTTTTACGCATAGAAGTGATTTTATATATCCTCATAGCGTAAAACGGTTTATTATTGTTTGTAAAAGTGCGTCCTGAATATGAGACATGAGATCTTGTAGTAGAATAAAATCATAAAATATACTTTAACATGTCTTTGCTAAAAGAAAACTAAATTAAACGTTGGTGACTTAGAAATAAATTTAAGAAGGTACAAAAATTAAACGAATTCGACGTAATGGCGGTTAATTCTCTTTCTGAAAATAGCTGCCTAATAATACCTGTCTGAATAAATCACGTCATTCTGCCATTTATTTATTTATCTTAATTTGCACATCATAATTTTAAAGCACTTAAAGACGCTGTTTACTTATTCTGACACATTTTTTGGAAACGAAAGAACAGAGCCCTGTTCAAAATATAACCCCCAGCAATATTTGATCATATTATAAATACTGAGAGCTGAAAACGTGAATATATTTCACATTTCGTACTGCTACAAAATTTGAATCGATGCTGTTATCCGTGTACAGATCTTTGACGACCTGAAGTCGTTTTTTTTTTTTGTTTTATTTTATGTTGCTTGTCCTGAACGGCAGACGAGAAGAGGATGATCCGTGGACGTGAACCGGAGTGGCACGTTTCCCGTCTGTTCTGAAACAACGAGAGACATCTGGAAGGCAAGGGGGCGAAACACTAATGCGTTGTTTTAAAGGGGATATATTTCATTCAGCACATATTCTGTTTTCAGACAGATACCGTGATATTAAACGTATTAAAAAATAGAAATTTTTAGTAGCTGAAAAATTACAGCGTGTCCATGTGCTTTTGTTTTGGATTTTATTTTATTATTTGTTTGTTTTTAAGCGTGAAAAATATATTTAATAATTATAATAATGGTATAATCATGTGTGTAAAATAAAGGTGATTTGGAATGGTGGAGAGGCCTGAGTGTTTGCTGCATCTTTTTGTCGTTTGCGCTGCATCATATCACAGCATGCTCTCCCTGCGAGAGGACACTTAAAACGAAATTGCATGGGTGCATTCAAGGCGCACAGTAGCTATAATACTCTGGAAAACACATTTAGGGTTGAGCCTGTGTGTGTGTGTGTGTGTGTGTGTGTGTGTGTGTGTGTGTGTGTGTGTGTGTGTGTGTGTGTGTGTCCTGGAAACAAAGCAGCGTTCACGACGACAGCATTTTCATATTACGCTTTTATTTATTGAGCCGCCTGGATTCATGGGAAGATTTGACAGATACTCCAGGCGCACTATAGGCCTGCAAATCAAACATTATTTTTCCCTCTAAGTCGACATGTGAAAATAAATAAATAAATGAAATCTCATAAAATTCCATTTTTGGTGATGAAAGCAAATAAATAAATGGCGTTCATGAATAAAGCTGGTCGTATATATACATATATATACGACCAGCTTTATTCATATATATATTTATAGATATAGATATATAGATATAAGGTTTGAAGCGTTTCCTGTGCTTCCCAGTAAGATGACACCTCTCCCACCTATAACCCACTTTTAGGAGACAGCCAGACTCAAGTGGGCTATCTCTGCTTAATCACACCCCACGTGAAAGGAAAAATGTACATGAGGGAGGTTTTGATGCAAACTGATGTGAGACTGCTGAGAACAAATGGCCGGTAAGCATAAGCTTTAAAGAAAGAGTCTTTCCCCTGAAGACACGATAAATCTAAGGTTTTTTCCATGGTTCGCCTCGTAGGTCAATCCATTATATCTGCAAAATGTTTGGGCTTCTGCTAACCCAGACACATATTACAAAGTTAACCTCACTTTCCACGTTCTCTTTGGGATTTGTCCAAAACAACAGGCTACTGGCACTGAGGATAAGTGGATGGAACAGATTCCCATGTGCTCACGACTTTACTCCTCTGAACTTCTATTCCAGATTTGACTTACAGCCTCCTCTGCCACTGCTGGTGTCATGAGGTTTGATGTATAGGGGTCACCAAAGGTCACGGCAAACAACGTCTAAGGAACTTTGTTTTTCTGCAGCAGGACTCCCGGCATGGCTGTTTGCACTGAAACTATCCAGCCTAACATTCATGAGGATCAGACTGGAACCTTCGGCCATTTGCACACAACAGTGTTTTCTTGTGTCTTAAGGAGAGTTCACAGATGCCATAACAGCGCAGTAAAACAGCATATGCATAATGTTTATGTTTTTGAATTTGTCCTCAAAGTATCCCTTCTTCCACCTCACAAACTGATAAAGACACATACTGATCTACACATGGATGACCGTTTCAGGTGACAGAGGGAGAAATGGAGGAACTGTAGTGAAAGAAGAGGAGCCTACTCTCGGTTTTTCAGGACCTCAAGTCTATCATGAGACATAAGCTAACGGCCATGCTCCCGAGACAAACTTAATCATGTGGCAGTAATCATGATCGGTGGAGCATTTTGGTGTAAATTATCTGTAGGCATGTGAGTGCAGGAATAAAGGGGGAGGTCACAGCAAAAATCAAATGTGAGCTTTCCCCTGCTCAGTAGTGCTATTTATCCATCTAGATTATTTTTGGTGTGAGCTACAGAGACGCCCGCCTTCTTTTGAACATAATGGAACTAAATGCTACTCACAGATATCTCCAGGCATCTATCCTGAACAGAGGTTTGTGGTGCGGATGGTGCCACAGGATCTAAACCCGAGCTTGATTTGCATGATTGAATGATTTTGAACACTACAGGGCACTTAGTTCCATTACATTCAAGAGCATCCCACACCCACACAAGCTAGCACAGTTGAGGAAATAATACGCAAATTAGATCTTGGGGCTAACTGCTTCTCTATACAAATAAATGGCATGATGACAGATGATCGAGATTTTTCTTACATATATTATTATTTAAAGCATCCTAGTACTACTGCTGAGTGACAAAATAAAAATATGTAGGCTTGATTTTGAGTGTAACCAGCCTTTTACTTTCATTTTTGTTGCATGAGATAAAGCCGTATGTGTAAATAATCTTTTAAACTGTACATGGGCTGGATTCATGAGATAACCCCTTCATATTTGCTATATTTTTCTCAAACCAGACTAAACAGGTCAAAATTGGTGAATAACAAAGTCTGTTTTTAACTATATAACAATTTTTAAAGCATGATATGAGTAAAATAATCATAAATGAAGCTGAAACATGGGTTAGATATTCATATTTATGAAGTAGAGGTCTGAAATCGGTGGGGAGTGGTGTTTAGTCGCATCATCATGAACGCATCATCCTTTTTGAGCACTGTTCTTCAGATTAGCCGCTGCCTCCACCTGCTGGTGGTCAGAGAGCAGCAGCATTCACCAAAGCATGGAGCTTCAACATCATCACCAGCACAGTGTTTGACCCCGTTTATTTGTTTAAGTGTAAATTAAAATAGTCAGCTTTACCAGAAAGAAAAATCTGTTTGGTCATTCAATGTTATTTTTATAAACGGTCATTTTTATTGGCAGATTCCTCAGTTTGTCAGACATGCTGCAATAGTGTGTCTGCTGTAGTGACAAAACAACAAGCTTTTTTGACCGAGACGGTCTAATTGTTGGTGGGTGGCTGTAAAGTAATTAGACGTTCTAAAACAGAACCATTTGCACCCCCCACCCCTTGTGTGTGTGTGTGTGTGTGTGTGTGTGTGTGTGTGTGTGTGTGTGTGTGTGTGTGTGTGTGTGTGTGTGTGTGTGTGTGTGTGTGTGCAAATGGATAAATATTACATATCTGACTATTGGCCCACAGTATCCTGCAGACAAATAAGAAAAATAAAATCACGTACAATACTAAAGTGGAACAATAATCTCTTTTAACTTTCTCTTAGATACAGGTAGGCCTCTGCTGTTTGCAGTCGAACGCTTTTATTTTGTTTTTCCTTTTTCTTTCTTTCTTTTTTTAAGGATTTAAGGATTAAGGACAATTTACGTAATTGTGACCGTTTTACTGCTTTGTAATAAATATTCAGTTTAATAAGCAGAGAAGGACTATTATCAAATGCTGACCATATCTTAAAGATTTCTCGCTCGTCCGTAAGAGTAGCTTTTTTAATTGCAATACATAGATAATTATTAAAATACAAATTTATACCAGCAGGCCTTGGCATAGGACTTTTTTGAGTTAAAGAGAGAGAGAGAGAGAGAGAGAGAGAGAGAGAGAGAGAGAGAGAGAGAGAGAGAGAATGGCTAACTTGGCAAACCTTAGCTTGGGAAGTTTCGGTGGTTCATTTGGGTTGTTTGCGCCATAAAGCTCGATGGTTACAGCCCAGAACTTGTAGTAAAAGTCTATTTTTATCGTTTTCTTCCTGCAATAAAACATTTCCCCCACTTCATTTAATTTGTATATAACAGAAGCAAAAGCTTTAACTTCAAAAGAGAAAAAAGAAAAGATAAAAAAGGATTTGAAAACATTTCACGATCGAAACAAAGGAGCATTTAAAAACAAAATCCTCTAGCACCATTTAGGAATTTAAATGTTGGTTTATATTTGTGTATTATTGTTGGGAGAAATTAAATACAAAAATGACATCACATTACTACTTTTCTTTAATGCTACACAAACTACACTTTATTTTAGGTTAAATCAAGAACGATGAGGTATTTTCCGTGTGCGCAGTATGTTCACAAATGCATCAAAATCTTACTATTAAAAAAACAATATCAAGTTACCAAAACAATAATTTAAATAATGCAAATAGGTAGCTGAAAGACATTCAGGTAGTCAACAGATCCATGCAAATAACAAATGGCCTAAGGTAGCTATCTGTGTGCGGCAGTACAACACATCTAAGTTCTCATAAAACACTTGTTCCTCTCAATATTATAAGAAAAAAAACACCCAGCATTGTTTCAACAGCACTAACTTTACAACAACATGTGTTACAGGAACATTAAGGACAGACACCAGTTTTCCCTTTCAACCCCTTACCCCTCCCCTCCCAACCAGGCTCTAATCCCAGGTCTGTCCAAGAAAAAACAAAGAAAAAATGAAAACAGTTAACTGTCTCTTCGCCGGTCTTTGTTTTCTTTCTTCATCTTCATCCTGCGGTTCTGAAACCAGATTTTTACCTGTCTCTCGGTCAAATTCAACAGTCTCGCTATCTCGTATCTACGATCCCGGGGAAGGTACATGTTAAACAGAAACTCCTTTTCCAGTTCGAGGATTTGATGCTTTGTATACGGGCAACGTTTTTTTCTGGTGGGCTTTGCGTGAAGCCAGTTGGATGACGGGTTATCTGGAAACCATGAGACAAGAGAGTTAACACTATCGAGATTAGTGTAAAATTAACAAAACAAAACAAAAATAAAACAAGTCCTGCTTATTCGTTTTACGCACAGTATGACTTTTTTCTTTAGAGACATTCTTTTTTGTCTGATGAGAGGCAATTTTGAGGTTTTTCTCTGGCAATATTTCTGCCGAATTTGGAAAAATGCGCAGAATCTGACGTGAATATTAGGGTCATAGTCACCTTATTTATTATTTTATTTATTTATTTATTTTGGATATGATGTTAATCAGCTAGGAGACCGCTATGTCTCCGTACCTTTGAAACAATGCACTCTTATAATAGCGTCATACGCGTTTTCAAGATGATACAAGCCAATGGCATTCAAAACAAATCCTCCACATTCGCGAAAAATTAAACCCTTTTGCTTATGCTATCTAAATGTTTACATCGAGTGACAATAATAAAAATCCAAACCCTGCATTGCTTACTTGGATCCACCTTCCTTTTTTCCTCTACTGACGGATTATCTTCAGTGGCTTTAGACGCAGGTTCGCAGGGAATCTCCACTAGAGACGCACCGTTTTCAGTGTCAGACAAAAGATGCGTGTGCGTCTCCAAAGTTGTGCATTCCGCAGTCCCAATCAGGGGTTCCGGTTTTATCTCATAGTGCATGCCTGTCGATGGTAATCCCGTCAAACACAGGGACGCAGAGACCGGATCCAGCGCCCAAGAGCGCGTAAACATGCCATCGCTGTCCCCACTCGGGTAAGGGTGATGTATATATGTCGGAGCGGTCGTGTTTGGAGTGTGGGCCGAGATGGCACTCCAAGAGCCACCAAAAATAGAAGATTTCGCCTGCAGTGGGCAAGACTCCTGTCCGCCATATTCGGTGACCACCGCCTGCTCCACCCCTGCGGCTGACGAGGAATACCTCGGTGCCATATCCTCCTGCTCGGGAAGAATGCGCGAGTCAATGTAATAACTGGTCCCCAAAGTCGACATTGCAAAGACGCAAAGTCAGAAAACGGCACTCTACAGTCCTGCAGCGTTTAGAAAAAAACGTTTCATTGCATGATAAGCTGCTGCTGTCGTGCGCCAGCTAGAAACTCAATGCGTCCAGTAAGTTGAACCTTGCCCAAGACTGGATAGGGCGCCCCAAACACGTGACCGTGGGACAGAACAATAAATAATAAATCAGCCTAGCGCTCGGCTAAATGGCCACCATTTTCCCCCACCATATTTTAATAGCAAATCCCCGCGCTTTTATTGGGAACTATTTCGTTTATAAGCAATAAACGTTATGAATTTTGTCAAGAGAGCGTATGTTAGTGTAATCAAATCTAGCTGTAAATAGGGACGGGGGTAATAATCCTTTAAAGTATCCATTTGTAAAAACATCAAACAAGGTCTTCAGCTGAATATATATATATATGTATATATATATATATGTATGCATGTATGTATTCATAAAAAAGCATCATAGAGTTATTTACCCCCCATCAAAAAAACAGACTGTAATACTTTAATGACCTCTATAAAACTTCTAATATGTACAAAAATTAGGCTCGTGGTAGCGGCAGATAAAATATGTCAAGATTTTACTTTTTTATATATACAAAAGCAGCAAACACGTCATTAAAGAATCACCAGGCTTTGGAAGATTTAAACATTCTGGGACAGTTTCCAAAACGCACATAGTTGCGTCTGCGTGTCTGTGGGTCCACTTTGAAGGCAATCTAAAACGGAAAGTGGGATGAGGTTATTTGGGTGCCATATACCAGGCCCCTTTTATCACGGGCAATTGGGTTGTTTTTCTTAAGGTTACAACCTGGCTGTCTAAGCTAAATATCACCAATAAAGCTCAGCCTTTGTGTCCTTTCTCTGGCTCAGGCAGACGCATCCGGCATTTGGAGGTAACTGGCAGACTGCAATGATCATAACCGAGGCCTTGTCTGTCCTTTCCCCCTCTCCAGGACGCATACCACTGCGAATTCTTTCATATTCCTGCTTCCAACACTGCTATTTTACACACATGTACTCACAATCATACAGAGCGGTGACCTTAAAATTATGGACGTGGTTAAAACTTGGTGTTTCTTTTTATTATTTTTTAAATCCCAAAGTGTAGTCATGTGGACTTGGCTTTATAACCAAAAAGAAGGGGAAAAAAGTGGTCTATCCCCTTTGCGCAAAGCCATAAAACACATTATTGCACTTTTTGGAATAATACCTTTTATGCCTCTGAAGCAGTGTGCGCCGAGCAATTAATAAATGCAATTAGTAATTAAGAGCGATTCACTTTTCATGATGTGACGAGTTTTACTGAGGTAATCAAGGCAGTTTTGTGTTGTGGGAGAAATAATATAGCCCAACAACATGAGACTACCTAAACCACTCCACAGCCCGCTCTCCTCTTCTGGGGTTTTTGATTTCTTTTCTTTCTTTCTTTTTAAGTGTGAAATTTTGCTTAGGTGTAGCCTGTTTTATTACTAGTAACAATTTTAGAAATTTCCAAAGGCGAAGAACTCAGTGTACAGGCAGTTAGCAACCACAAGTTGATATCATGCACCAAAACAGCTTTATAGCCCCCCATTTGGAGCTGCTTTTCGTCAAATTAGTCAGAGTGCGTTATTGCTTAGGCGTCTAGATTATGGATTTTACTATTTAAAAAATTGAATGCAAGAAAACCTAACGTAATAACAATTTCAGATAGTTCAGAAAATCGCAATCAAAGGAGTCACTGTTATTCCACGCTTTGTGTGGCACATTTAGATATAATGTCAAGGACAAAAACAACGAAGTAACAGGCATCTGCCGAAGGCCTAAACCGTGAAGAACGTCACGCAGTAAAAGTGTAAAAAAAACCCAATTTAAAGTACAAAGAGCACAAATGCATTTGCGCTGTACCGGTGCCAGCTTTAAAATTTTAACAACCCGCAGCTCCTGCTCTGGTTTTGTGAATGAAATAAGAAGGCTGCAGTTGCATGGATGGGTTTTATTCATTTGACCAGCAAAATGTGCAAATATTAATCAAATCTCTGGGCTTCTTTAGCACTCACACAAATACCTACATGTAACTGGAACACACGTTTCCCCAAGGTCCAGCATGCAAATTCCAATGGTTCACTCAGGTTGAATAAAGAATATGTACAAGCCTGAAGCTCTGAAACACTGTGGTCACATTCAGAGCATTTTCAGCTGATCAGCGTTACAAATGTAACTATTTATAAATACAAACACGACAAATTAAACCAGACATGAAAACAAAAATCATTCAAAAAAGACCAACAATCAATAAGTTAGCAGTAGGATCCTATTTTCATTCTCACAGTTGGGTGTGGGGTCTGCACAGGCGTCCTTGGCATGGATGAAGGAGGGCGCCAAAGACGCACAGTCTCATGAGAAACTGAAGCTGCTGGAGAGCTCTCGGATCCTGTTTTCCCGGCTCATTTTTTTCAGTTTCATCCTCCTGTTTTGGAACCAGATTTTGACTTGCCTGTCAGTGAGGTGCACGCTACGGCTGATCTCCAGACGGCGCTCTCTAGTCAAGTACATGTTGAAGAGAAACTCCTTCTCCAGCTCCAGAGTCTGGTGCTTGGTGTAGGGGCAACGCTTCTTTCGACCACTCTTAGCTGTGAGCCAATTAGCCGTACTTTCCATCTTTCCATCCCCTACAATGAAAATCAGCCAAATATTAGGCAACAGGTGTGACAATCATGAAATCATGAACGGATAACATTACATAAACAAAACATGCCAGTGCCCACACATGAAAATGTTCACTCAAATAATTTATCAACTATACGTATTTATTGCAAATGTTATATATATTTATTGCAAATGTTATATATAACTATATATATATATATATTATATATATATATATATATATATATATAATATATATATATATATATATATATATATATATATATATAACTAAGGTGTGTCCTAAATAATAGTTAATTATATTATTAACAGTTAAAATAAATACACGAGGTCTGTTTTAATATTGACAGCCAAAACATCGTATCACTGTTTTTTTGTTTTTGTTTTTTGGGGGTTTGGGGGATTTTTGTTTAGTTTTTTTTCCTTTGAGAGAGACAATAGCTCTGCATCTCTGCTTTAAATAAGCCAAGTTTAATTTTTCTTCCTCTCTGATAAACTTCTAAGTGCCTGACAGTTCCCCAAAAGCACCAATCTTCCTCGCGTATTTGTGCGGTCAGAAATCTTACGTTTTAAAGCAATGATCGCATCTCCTTTTTTTTTTAGCCATATTTCTGCAGCTAATGCCAGCTCTTCACCTTTTACGAGCTTTTCTGGACACTCCGTACTGCAAGTCTCAGTTGGTTCGGGAGAGGACGAGCCTTCCGAGGAGAGGCGGCTGTCCTCTCCTCTGGCCGGGGCGCAGGGCGCAGGGACAGGCGCCTCCTCGTGGCCCTCTCCATGCTCCGACTCCGCCGAGGCGGCCGGCGGCTGGGAGGCTTGGCTGTCCAAACGGGCAGGTCGTTGCAGAGTGAAGTGATTCATGTTTGGCTGGACATCGTGATAGAGCCTGGAGGACGTGTATGTCTGAGACAGGCGGAAGTAGCCGGGGACTGGCACCGTGTTGCCGCTACCCGGGCAGGATGCGCTCGAGTAGGATATGTCATCTACTGTCGCTCCTTTAGGACATTTATCAGACTCATAAAGGCAGTAAGCGCTCTCCTCTTTTATACTCGGCGAGAATGAACACTGAGCCATATGCTGGGCGCTGGGCTGATCCACCCGACAGGATCTCGACGTTTCCAGCCACGTTTCCATTCCTTGAACATACGAAGCAGCAGAGGGGATCACGCTTTGGGTCGTTGGCTCGTTGCGCTTACCGATCCCCGTGAAACAAGAGCCACCGGAGAGTCCATATGAATATTCCGACGCCTGTGGCAAGTACACGCTGTTACTTTGGTAATACGAACCGCTGTCGGTTCTCACGTTGATTAAGGAGTCCACAAAAAAGGAATTTCCAGCTTGGTTGTTGGGGCATGACATCGCTGTGGTATAATTTGACGGTGGATGAAGATAGCCCTTTCTGGCTGACATTTCTTGTGCAAAACATTGCTGAATAATTACTGATACTCACGCTTCTCACTGTAGCCTGCAGCCAATTAAAACACCAGGCGACTACAGACTCCTCCCAGTCCCGATCAGGCATCTCCACTGTGTCATATATTTTGTTTTAGGCTAAGTAAAGAGAAACTTTGAGGGGGAAAAGTGGTGTATCAGATGGGTTTAAGTAAAATCTTTAAATCTCCTTAAACTCTTGCACCTATAAGCCTCGAGGTGCCTGCCTTAAGTTCAGCACAACAACTGCTATTTGAAAACTCAGTTGTTGAAAGCTGTCCCTAACCATTATGTACAATGCATAGCTTTATGGCCAGTTTTACAGCACTGTAAAATGAGGGGTTCTAGGGGTGCCTCAGGATGCGTCGAGGATCCAAAATGTGTGTGACTCTTTGGTCCAGGGACTCTTAAGCTTTCGTGTGCTCATCTGATTGTTAATATTATTGGCCAGAACCTTTTAAAAATTTCTCATGGACTGTCCAATAGCAGAGTGGACAGCTGCTCAACTTTGTCGCATTCATGCCAAAACTTCAGGTCACGTTTTGGTGTGAATATTATGGATTAAAATATCACGACAAGGCAACTTTTATTGCAGATGCTCTGCTGAGCATTTATAAGGGCAGCGAGCAGGAACACTGAAGTAAAGGCGCCACAGTTGAACAATGCCCTGGAGCTGCATTTGCGTAATCGTCCCCTAATAGTGGCAATACTGCAAGGAAGGTAGTTTCTTATTTAACAGATTGGAACTTGTTAATTCTACTGTTATGTTCGCCACCGCTGGGATGCCGTATTTTCTCACGTATTTATTCCTTGCTTCTTCAGAAACACCAAGGTCCATATGCACATACTCCACTTTTACTTAATACTTAACAGCATCTCTCTCTCCATATATTCATATATATATATATATATATGGAGAGAGAGATGCTGTTAAGTATTAAGTATT